TAAGTGATTCATTTCTTTTTGTCAAAGTATCAATATCACTTGGTTCGTGTGTGTTTGATGCATCGGTTCCCACATTATGGCATATTGAAAAATCTCATTGAGAAAAAACGACCAAAGCCACTACGAATCTTTTCAAAAACACGTATTTTTACAACATTATAAAGGTTTACAGGTGATAATTGCCTAAAATATGACTCGGGTGTGGATGGTGGTGTGGGTGTCGTGTACGAGAGAAATATCCAACACCCACACCCACACCCTTTCATTTTGGACGACCGTATATATCTAAACCGTACACGGAGAAATATAATCGTATACAAAGAAATACAGAGTAAAACGAAAACCGTTGACGAGCTTTGTTTGTCCATAAACGATCATATTTCTGCGTATACGATCACGGAGTTATACGATCGCAATGCTGAACGACGTGAAGCGCCGCATTCCTCCGATTATAAGCGTGTTTGCTTGACATGGATTAATATTGACAATGGTTTCACGATAGTTAGAAAAAATCGGATATGTTGGAATGCGATAGCAACAAACAGAAGCGCCCCACTGACCAAAACGCAGGGGATTATACAATCTACCCAATATCAATAAATCGTTTTCCACAGAACGCAGGAAGATGACCATATTTCACTGGAAAAGATCAAGTGTTTTCGATAGCACGGAGTCAAATGATTCCTCACAAACCCGCTGTCTGGACACCATTGCAAGCAATGTATTAATTTACGCTTGGAAACGGAAAAGTGAAACTGACTTGCGAAAAATGATCAAAATCATGGGAGAATTGCTGAAAATTGAAAAAAACGAAAAAATACTTTTGTCACATGCACAGTTATCTGAAAAAAAGAACAAAAAGTAAAAACAAACATTTAATGGATTCTGATCGTTTCTATTTCTGTATGCCTACTTAGTCAGATAGAGTAATATTATAGGCAGATACTACGCAAATAGAATAGACTATTTTTCTAAGGTTTTCCTGTTTTCTAATGCATACATAAGCAATTGCACAAAAATCTCTATGAACCATTGGAAGTTTCGTTTCTTTTTTACACTTTCAAGTCATATTCAACCTATATTGAAAACGTACGAGTTTTGTCGGATTTATAGTACTATTGTGCCAGTGAGTTTTAGTTTTCTTCAGACGAAACTGTATGCCTCTTTTTCTCCTCTTTTTTTTACAAATTATTGGTGGCACGCCAGTATATACTATATAGTTTTTCTTTTCTTTGGATGACGATGCGTTTCACTTTCGTTCTTATTAACTTTTGCTTGCTTCATACACAGACACTTCGTCAACACTCTTGAAACGAAGGAAAGATGAGAAGCCTTTAATGTGAGAAACGAAACGCACTCCTCTATAGCAGTAGGCCATAAAAAGCTGCCAACAAACAAAAAGGAACAAAAAATAATATATATAGGACGACAAAGTCGAATTTATTGCATTCTTTCATTCATGCATCATGACCAACCAAAAATCGACAATAACTGTTGCAAGTGGGCCAGCAGCAGTAATCACCACCACCAATAGTGCTGCTGTGCTGCCCCGATCTGTTCATCGGGCTCTTCAAAATTTTCTACTGATCTGGCTTGATGCCGATTTCGATGAATCCAAAGAGAATTATAAAACATCAATACAACATCTACGACATATTGTAGCAACAATCACAACATTTACAGATGTTGATCAATGTGTTGATTTTATCAGTGACATTGAAGATGAAAAAATATTCGTGATTGTGTCTGATGCACTGGGACAACATATCATACCAGAAATTCAAATATTGCCACAATTACACTCAATTTATGTTTTCTGTGACAATCAATCGCTTCATCAGCAATGGGCCAAAACAATACCTAAAGTGAAAGGTGTATACACACAAATTGAACCAATTTGTGAAACATTAAAAATCGATCGTGAACATTGCGATCAAGGTATGATCCCGATCAGCTATCATGGAATTGATGCGTTATTTATGTATACGTAATTGTTAAAAGAAACATTTTTGGAAATCGAAGATGATGATACAAAATCGATTAAAGAACTCATTGAGTACTGTCGTCTTCAAGGCGATGTTTCCGAAAAAACACTCGAAAAGATCGAACGAGAATATCGTAATCATACACCCATTTGGTGGTACACGGGTCCATATTTTATCTACTCAATGCTCAATCGTGGCCTTCGACTAATGGATGTTGACATTATACTTAAAATGGGCTTTTTCATCCGCCATCTACATTAACATATTACAGACTTACATCGCAAACAACAAAGCAGCCATGCCATCGAAATTTCAAGTTTTTCGTGGTCAATGCTTATCCATGGAAGCTTTTGAAAAAATGAAGAAAACAAAAGGTGGACTTATGTCCTTTAATAATTTCTTGTCAATAAGTCTTGATCGTGAGATTTGTTTCGAAAACTTTGCACGGCCGACAGCATTTGATGCGAATTCAGTTGGCATCCTCTTCGTTATGAACATTGATACAACCATCTGCACAGCATCATCGACATCTTTCGTCAATGTCACACATGTCGGATTTTATGGAGACCAAGAAGAAATTCTTTTTTCGACTCATACAATTTTTCGTATCGATCGCATAGAACATATTGAAGACAAGCATACAGATCGTCTCTGTCAAGTGAAGCTCACCATCGCCGGTAATCAGGACGATGATTTTAACAAACTTACAGCACATTTACGCCAAGAACATAATTGGGCAAGAGGTTGGGCTCGACTTGGTCATATACTTATTAAACTGGGTGAGCCTGCAAAAGCAGAACATCTCTATCAGCTGCTCCTCGAAAGGGCATCTTCTCATGAAGATCGGGCGGACTACAATTTACAGCTCGGTTCGGTATATAAAGACATAGGAGAATACTCGAAGGCAATAACATTTTACGAAAGAGCAACCGATATCTACAAGAAAATGAGCCCTCCGAATCATCTCCACTTGGCTCGATCCTACGGCAACATCGGTTTGGTGTATCATGACATGGGTGAATACTTGAAAGCACTTTCATATTACGGGAAAACACATGAGATCTTCGAAAAAACTCTCCCTCCGAATCATCCCGATTTGGCTGCTTCCCACAACAACATCTGTATGATGTATAATAACATGGGCGAGTACTCGCAAGCACTTTCATCGTATGAACGATCAGTTGAAATCAAAAAATAGCTCTCCCTCCGAATCATCGTGACTTAGCTTATTCCTACGGCAACATCGGTATGGTCTATGAAGACATGCGCGAGTACTCAAAGGCGCTTTCATCATTCGAGAAAGCACATGATATCTCCAAGAAATCACTTCCACCAATACATCCGCATGTCGCACAATCGAGAAGAGATGTTGAACGTGTGAAAAAGAAAATGTAATTATTGGTTTTATTTTCAACGAGAAAATAAATTAGCCTTCTTGAACACTTGGCTCATCGAAGCACACCGGCTGCGAAAATTTCCCACACACGCGACCAGGAATATCCTCTGTATACTGCTGGGTTATACAGTTGGGAAAGCCGGCAATGATTAGACAAACATACATTTATGTATGTGTATCAGGCAAAACTGAAATTTAGGCAAAATTGAGATTTAGGCAAAATTAAACTAAGTTTGAAAGACTCGTTATTTTAACAGAACTTTTTAAAAAAATTAAAGGGTATGGGTGTGGGTGTGAGATGTGGGTGTGGGTGTGAGATGTGGGTGTGGGTGTGAGATGTGGGTGTGGGTGTGAGGTGTGGGTGTGGGTGTGAGGTGTGGGTGTGGGTGGATGTGGATGTGGGTGTGGATGTGATTAAAGAGAAGAAAAACACCCACACCCACACCCCACCCACCCACACCCACACCCCACACCCCACCCACTCACACCCACACCCCATCAGATAGTGATCACAGATAAGAGATACAGAAGAATTTTCAGCAAGGTTTTATTTTATTAAATGCTCGAAGTAATCTCCTTCATTATTCACACATAGATTCATCCGTTCGATCTATTTACCAAATGTTTTTTTTATACTCTTTTTTATCCAAAGAGTACATGAAATCCATCATAGCACGATGTAACAAGTCGGAATCGCTTTGATCACCTATGTTTTGTTTGATCAAGTCGAAGGGATTCCAAACACGTTA